CCGACCTGTCAGTTCCCTCGCGTCTTCAACGAAGTTACCTGGTACTGGCCATCAGCCAAGCACAGAATCTTTGGCCGCATCTTCAGCACACGCTTATTCTCCATTCTCCGTCATTCTCAGTTCCGTTGTGAATGAAGAAAGAGGATCTGACTTTATCCATTTTTCTTCTCTATCTCCGGGCGGTTTTGGTGAAAATAATAAAGGGCTTTGATAAAATATGCAGATCATGCGTGGTGCGTTGGCAACGTGTTCCCGAAGCAGGATTTTTTTAATGATTGCCTGCTGGCTGCTTTGTCCCAATGTTGCAGGAAGGTACTAAGAGTCCACAGCGCCGACTTTCGAGAAGCTCGCTCTCATGGACTAGCGAGAGATCGAATATCGCGGATCCCATCACGAAATAACAGTACAGGGTATTACCTCTTTTCTCCGCGAAATTGTTCGAATCGGTGATATCTGATGCGACGTCAATGAAGGCCACGCCTCTTGAGCAGTTCCTTGGATCGAGATGAAAAGGAAGAAACTGCCTTTCTCTGAAGGTTGTTCAAGTCACAAATACTTTCACAACAGGTTGTTACTGTCACTTGTTACTGAAGCCTTTGCAGTGGCACAAGTGGTTGCTTACCGTGCACATTGCAAATATTTTACTCCTTTCGGTATCATTCCACTATCCCTCACAAATGGAACGCATTTTCCGGGACTCTCTTATCGGGCACAATTTCCAAGACCGGTGATTTTTCATGGAAACTATATCACCTGGGAAGAATCGCGTCATACAGGAGGGCGCATAAAAAATGCGCCGAGAATTTTTTGTCTATTTCGCAATCAGATGACAGTGTAGGAGGCACTCTTAATAAGAAGGCTTAAATCGCCGTACGGGGCAACACGCATGCTCGAAATGATGAAATAAGAGCCCTGCGCGCTCAAAGAACAAGAGAGTATGGCACAGCGCAGTTGTCGGGACGTCGAGAGTGTCTGGCATCGCGAGTACAGTTGAGGACTGTCGTAAAGCGCCGGAAATGTGTTGGACCCCTGAGCGGGTCGGGAACGAGTGCTGGAAGTCTTTCCACCACAGACTAATATCCTTTAGGTATTGATCATTTCGCAATCTTGATCCATTGATCATCTAATACAATAGAATCCAAAACGGTTCAAAACATCCCTTTTCTGATCCCTGTTATTGATCTCGTCCAATACTGGTTGTCTCAATAAATGCACGCAGAAAACTACGGAGCCTCCAGTGCGAATCGAACTCACGACCCTTGGTTTACAAGACCAATGCTCAAACCACTGAGCCATGGAGGCCTCTATAAACCACAATGATAAAAATGCTTTTAGATAAATATGTCCTATCGCTTTTCTCCATCGTGATTTCACAATCCAATATGAATATGTTAGAAATTCCTACGGGATCCAATCGGAAAATTGCCGCCTGTTACGAAAAGCAATGGAGAAGGTGGTGATATGTTGAAACACCATCACGAGAATTCCGATTAAACTGGTAAGAATTTAATTGGTGAATATGTGCTGGAAGGGTTAAGTCTAGCCGCATCAATAAAAGCCCCAATCACCACTGCAGGATAAATTAGACTGTCATTCAACATAGCCATTGTAAAAAAGTGAGCTCGAGAGAGAACACCACGAGGACCTTCTGCTTCTCGGGACCGTGGGATCTGAAGCCCGTTGGGTTCGACACGTCTCTAGCATGCCTCCCGGATGACTCTGGAGAAGATTCTCCCAAACCGGAAGGATTCCATTCCCATTGCAACCCCAAATTTTCAAGCTCGAAGAAGGGAACACCATCATTAGCAATTGGATTCATGCCCTTGAAGACCTCCTCGTGCGACTACAATCCCCTTCCCCCTCAGATCTCCGTTTACTCTTTTCTATTTGAGTTACGTGAACACGTTCCTGTTTTCGGCAATGATGAGTTCAGAGCCAGAATTTGCGTTATCGTTACTTTGGACATGAAGGACCACATCGACCTCTTCGGCTGACATCACGGGCACTACCAATCCCCCCATGACATACCCTGCTCCTAATACACCCTATCTTAGCTCTCGAGAATGTGGAAAATAGGACCGACTCCTGAACGTTTGTGCTCTTGACGCATGATGTGAGTCTCGAACGAGGTTCACGTATTGCGTCTTTTGTCCTCATTACCAATTCGCTTTCCCCCTTCGTTAAGTTCCTCTTGCTTCTTCAACAGAAAAGCCAGTGAAAGGTGCAAGCAACTCATTCCCTCATTTTCCCCGATTTGCATCTTGGCAAGTGACCTTCAAGAAGTGGTTGGAAATTGAGTTCCACGGGGTGCCGGATGGCAGAGTGCTTCACGTTCGCCGACCAACATTCATGAAATGTCATTAAAATGAAAATGTTAATGGAAGTCTAATGTGAAACGTTTAGCTGAACACCTACTGTCAGACATCAGTTTGCGATAGCGGAGCCTTCGTGGGCCAGAGGGAGGGTTTAGGCTGGCCGGTTATTTTTCTATTTCCTTTGCATTTTCCTTGAGTTTTGATTCCCTTGAACTGTCATGTTTTTCTATTCCCAGGTGTTCATTTAATTTTAGCCATTTCAGGATTTATTTCTCTTCTTGTTTCTCGGCTTCAATATTTTATGTTTTAACGGCCCATTTACATATATTCCTTTCTCAATGTCTCAACGAACTGGCTTTCCTCTTCTGCCCTCTCCCACTTGGTTTCATCCTAAATTTTGGCTCCATGATTAGCCCAGCACTTATTTTGATATTCTTGTTCCCCCCCTTTTTGTTTCATTATCATCCAGTTATGTACGTGGAGTGCGAACAAGAAAAGAAAAAAAAACGAAGAAATTCTCCGTATTCTCATGCCTGTTGAGTAGAGAGCCCGTTTGGGAATGGAAAGGAATTTCCTCTAGAATTTTTTTCCCACTTCGGGTAATAAGTCGTCTGGGAAAACCGTTCGGGGAAGTCTAAATTCGAGGAAAAGACCATCCTGCGATAAGACCGTTCAGAGACAAGTCCGCTCTGTGGTAACTTCTTTCAGGGGAATATACAGTTCGAGGAATTATCTTTCCAGGAATAGTCCGTGAATCGCAAATAAAAGGTGAAGAATAGAGTAGGAGAGGAAAAAATAGAAGAGATTGCAAGGAGACACGCATGAAGACAGTTCGTAATTTGAGGAGAGTCCTAAGATTTCATAGAAAGGAATCAAGGAACACCGGATTTCACAAAGTGCAACGATTACGGGAAAATGCGATTCTGAAGCAAGCCTTCCATGAGCAATCTCCCTTTAAAAGCTATATGCAAAATTAATATTAAATGTGAAAAGTTAAGGAGAAGCGGAAAAGGTAAGGAAACGTGCTTGAGAATCGTTTGTAATTGGCTGCGGGGACAGTCCACCGAACCTCCATCTATGGCCTCTCAGACTAAATTAAGTTCAAATGATATCATCTGGATGCATTTCATCGCTGAGTGAAAACATTGGAAAACCAAACGAATGCCAGTGTATCCTAATTTCTAAGATACGGAGAAAATGTGGATTCTAATCGTTCGAGAGTAGGTTGACGAGCAGGGATCTCCTTTCGGGCTACTTGCATCATTTAGGAAGTAGATAATTGAAGACTAACAGATTTTTCTAACTCGACACTAGAGCGAGAGTAAACCATAAGTGGGACTCAAGTTGTTTAATGACTTTTACAACTTTGGATCCATCACACATGATCGCAGCACTCTCTGGGCACTTAGCATTTGTTTCGCACAGGAAAATTCATGAATATATCTAAAATTAGACTTCTAGTACCCCGCTACAAGGAAAGGAATTGAATTGCTCGATCCAGAATGGCTATTTAGATTTCATGAGCATATAAAAAGGAAGAATAACACTTGAGTTGTAACGGCGAGATTTGTTTTACATCTGAGAACTTCGCTTAGACAACCACAACCACCACCCCCCCCCCCAAAAAAAAGGGTCCAAGATGGCATTCCCCTTATCATGTTCTCCTTGGCTTACGAATAAATATTCGTCAGTTCTTGTCGTCATCCTTAATTGGGAAATTAGAAAAAAATGATTTCTAGTATAATTAGGGTCTTTCTACCCTAGGAACTAAGGTTTTTCGTCACAGCCCATCAAATAAAAATAGTCTTAGCCAGCTTCTCGCATGCAACTTTCCATCTACAGGTCACGATGTAGCAGATATGCCTAAAAAACTATGCTGAGGCATAGCGTACAACACCTGCCATGCTCAACCCCCCCCCCCCCCCCCCCCCCAAAATTAGCTCAACATCTGTAAGGTAAGCAAATAGGGTAAGAGCAAGAATTATGGAGAAGCACGACATCGTTGGGAATGAAACCAAGTTCATCTCACATTGAACAAAAATAGTCCCGACCAATGGCTTTAACAATCAAAGAAGAAATGCTTCATAGACAACGTCGTCGGTAACGGCCATCGGCTTCGGATTCCTTCGGTGAATCGATGACCTGAACTTTCAGCGAATCTTGGAAGGAAATACGCGACCTGGTAATGTACAATTGCCCATGCGTGAACACCACTGGCCAATATTAGCCTTTCGGAATCGCCAATAGCGCTTGCAATTCTGTTTTGAATATCCAGAAATCTCATTCGTTTCAGCACAATCTTTAGTGTATGGGACAAGAAGAAATCACTGGGAGCCAAGATCGGCAAGTAGGGGATATGATGTAACGCGGAGTTTACGGAGAATGTCAGAAATTGCTGTGCAGCAAAGACGTCGTGGGCATTGTGTTGCAGCATATTCATGACTTTGCCTGTCACTTTCCTCTTTCTGCGAACGGCAACGGGCCAGCACAGACAGGTAATACCAGGAGGGTGAGCAATGATTCAGATATTTTTCCATGGAAATGGAAAGCATAAGGGAAAGAGAATCCGGTTTCTTGGGAGACAGTGCATCTGTGTCAGTTCAACTTGTAATCGGCGTTTCCGTTCTCACGGGACTTCTATAAATTCGTTAGAAAAAAACGCTATGATTCAATTCACAACACACACTTCACAGCACACACTTCAATAAACAACTCCTCAGTTCCGTTCTATTGCTGCCTCTATTCGCACTTGACTTCTATTGTCAAAATCATCACTGTGATCATACGAGGTAATATTGGCTCCTTCATTACTCTATGTATGACTTTTTCATTTCAAGTGTTTCTTATTTTACGTGACAAGATGGAGGGAGGCATGTTGGTTTTCCTAACCATGGTGGCTGGTTGCCTTGTGGGTGTCTCGTTATCCCAGGATTGTGGGGGGACACTCACTGCCCCCTATGGGGAGATCATGTCTCCTGGATATCCCGATTCCTATCCTCCAAATACCAACTGCCAGTGGATAATCGAGGTGAGTTCGATAATGATAATGCAATGATAATGATAATCTACCATTCAAGGATGAAAATGATCGTATGAAAGTAGAGTCGGAGTAGCAGATTCCGAAAAATTGGAGCGGAAGTAGAGTTATATTTCCTATCAACACATCTTTCTGTCATTTCAAAAGCCCCTGGACTTGTATAGAACGAGAGCCATTCCGATTGATTTACTAAGCATTCCACAATCTTTAACGCATTTGGAAAATTCTCTAGTTTATTTCAGGAAAGGATACAGTAATGCAAGAGAGCAAAAATAGTATATGCTTCCTGTTTCAAATATTTGAGATGAAAGTCCCTGCTTTTGTTTTCTCTTTTTAGGCTCCGACAGACACGAAGATTTTGCTCGTATTCTACGATTTCCATCTGGAGTATACTGTGGGCTGCTTTCCTGGGGATTTTCTGACCGTCTCCGACCCAGTGGTTGATCCACAGATATTTTGCGGTGACAATCCTCCATGTCTAGTGGAATCCACCGGAAACAGCCTGTCCATCTCCTTCTTCTCCAATTCTGATGACGATCAGGAAGGATATCGATTTCATTTAGCCTACATCACTATTTCTTCATCCAGTTCGTCCAGATGCGAAGAAGGTTGGGAAGAATTCGGTTCATATTGTTACTTCTTCTCGGAGGAGGAAATGGAATTCGAAGAAGCCCAAATGGACTGTGAGGCGAGGAATGCCAACCTAACAAGCATTCATTCAAAGGAAGAACAATTATTCGTAAAGGGGCATTCAAAGACACCGACCGTTTGGATCGGAGCTATTAAGACCGGATCCCTGTTGGATGATCCCTTTGACTTTGAATTTGTGGATGGCACGCCGAGTGATTACCACAAAATGTGGTCGTGGCCCAGCACGCTTCTTGATGGCTGCTCAGGTTCTAACTTTTGTATGATTCAGTTGGTGCCAGATCGGTGGGAGAACCGAGACTGTTTAGAAACCAGACCAGTTATTTGCAATGCAGCCATGGGGCATGGTCCGGATTGGGCATGCTACGACGCCCCAAAATACAAAGGCTGCTTCCATGTCTCGACCGAAGCGTACACTTATGAAGCAGGAAGGTCTTACTGCCAGTCATTCCCCGGAGCCGATATCGTTCATATAGTTGGTGCACATAATCATACGCTTCTTGCACAGGCGTTCCAATATCCCCATTATTTCCCACATCCCCTTCCAAAGTGGAATGAGTTTTGGATTGGACTGAGGCTTGATTTGTCAGGAGACTGGACGTGGGTGAACGGATCACCATTTTACGTAGACCGGTGGGAAGTGGGGTATCCTGTTGTAGACGGTGGGGATTGCGTTGTAATGACGACATCTTCCTGGGACGATATTCCAAGAGATAATCCTGGGTCTTATGTCTGCAAGAAGTCATTTTGAAGGATTTTCACAACAAGGTGGTGATGATACTTGAATGTTGCGCCAAATAAATTTAAGGAATACTTGACACCTAGGATTTTTATTTTTCCCTGATGTTACCTAAATACTCTGATTGGGAGGTGCAATTTCCTCAAAAGGACTTGAAAAGGCGAATTCATGAGCATGCCCATTCAACAGAGTATGTGTGGCCATAGATTGGCGAATCTGCGGTAGCTGTGACGTTTCTGACTCTTCAGTGGTTACACTCTGGCTCAGGAAGACCTTGCAGTTAGTCCACGCTTGGCGAACAATAATGTTTCACGCACAAGTGCAATCCGACTGAAGGTGTGTGAAAACTTTTGCAAATGCTTTCAAGCCCTGATGAGAACAGTGTGTACCATTTTGACAATAAGAGATGCATACCGCAAAGATGACCGTGACGATCCATGTGGAAAAAATGCACTTCTTGTAAAAGTTCTTGTAAAAGATGCACAAGTTCTTCGGAAACGTTGAAGTTCTCCTTCATGCAACTAGATGGAGGTGTGGGTCTCGCTTTTCGCACAGTATCCTCCTCCTCCTCCTCCTATCATTATCCTCCCCTCTTTCCCTGGAATATCCCCTCACAGGAATGTTTAGTACCTCACTATATGTCTCGCCTAGTTTCATTATGAGAATAAAAAACGCGGACATTTCTTCTTTTTTTCATCCCCATATTCGAAACAGATTTATGGAGTCTTGGGCATAAGCTCATATTCCCCATAAGAACTGTTTACTCATACAGTGTAACCTAATCCGGAAGGAGTTTTAGAATAATTATGGTGTCCGCGGTTTGAATTAATCATGTTTTCGTCCTGAATGAAGTAATTAAGAGTTGATTTTGCGGTAACGTCATGGGAAATAAAAGGATGGATCTTCCTCTAAAACGTACTATAAATTGCTGACTGGGTGGTAACTTCATATGGCTTCTTTTACCTCTTTAACGGCCGAGTTTAGAATATCCGGCTGTTGATAACTGGTGGATTTTCTACGATCTTTTGCAGCATTTCGAATAAGTATTTTCATTTTAATTGCGTAGCTAACAAGGGAAAAATGGTGAAGTTATTTTACTAAAAAAGCCCCCATTGTCTACTTACGAATATTACCATGTATAGTTCCACACAACCATCGTTGCCTAAAAATACAAACTCGGTGAAGGTATAAGGTTGCCCGGAAAGTTCGTGTAACTGATCCTGAACTGCGTACATGAAACATTTAGTTTACACAATCGTGTATAGCGTGGAATTTTATCATGATTCACCTATTTTTAGCCTGGTTGCATCATTTCCTTAATACGAAAAAATTCGTTTACTCTACCAAATTTGGCTGTTTCAGAAATGTCAAAAATCGAGCATCGAACAGTCATGACATTTTTTAATTCAAAAAAGGCTGAATGCCACCGAAATCATTAAGGAGCTGGAACATGTTTATAAGGACTCTGCTCTATCGTACCGCACCATCGCACAGTATGTGGCTATATTTCGGGACCCAAAACGAGGCAAAGAAGAAGCAATCCGACGCACTGTGCAGCCGACGAATTGGACATTCCAAAAACAGAGTCCACGAGATCATGAGCAATCACTTGGGCATTAGCAAAGTCTGCACGCGTTGGGTGCCGAAATTGCTGCCACGGCGGACAGAGACTCGTCGATCACGCATCGCAACACGTTTCACGACTTCAACGTTTTCATCGACGATTGTGGTCGATGAGATGCCTTTTCGGGGTGCATTTTCTAAGCCACGTGTTGGGTCTGAGGGTCACATTAAGGCTAAAGCGTATGATGTGAAGATATGACACATACAGCACCTTACAGAACGCGTAACACATACTGGTGTTATCATTGACGAAGCTACACTTTACAGCTTGTAGGCTAACTGAATAAAGCGTTTGCGAAAGTGTGAGGAAAAGATTTGGAAAAAATCTGTAACGTTCCTATAATGACTGACGTATAGAGGCAAAATAAATCATAACCTGCCTATGAAGCCTGACTTCATGCCCACCCTGATCGTGACTGAATGACTGACGCTAATTCTAACCATGTTCAAGAGAACTTAGAAATTTGAAATTTGGTACAGGAGTAGCTATGGAGATGCAGGGGTCATAAAAAAAAAACTGGTACATGTCCTCAGGGCGTATTCATTCAGGAGGACGCTTAAAAATTTTTTTTTCATGAGAGACACGGAAAGCCACAAATGGGCATGAAAATTCCTATTGATGTGCTGATTTTTTTTTCATAAAGATTAAAAATGTCCAGTAAAGGCTCTGGGGCACATTCTGTCTGGTAGACGTTTACAAATAAATATTTTTTTCCCTTCATTCAAAGGGAGAGAGGGAGAGCCACAAAAAGCTGAAACTTGGAATGAACATGCCTTGTGAGATGAGGAAATGATGAAAAAGGTTACTTGTAGATATATTCCCCCGGGGCATATTTTTCGGAGAAAAATTTTCAAATGAATTTTTTTTCGTTTCAAAGAATCGGAGGGACGTAGAAAGCTGAAACTTAGCATAATCATGCCTAATGAAACGACTTGAGGGGCGACCAACAAAGCCTTATACAGAAATGGCGAGTTTTTTGCTCATCCGGGAAACAAGCTCATCATGGCCGTTCGACACTCCACGGTCTAGAATGACGATTCATGCATTTGAAAGATCGATTTTCGATGAATCAAGTGGAATTCCTAGGCCATGAGATCTTGTCTCCTACATCGCGAGAAAAATTAGTATAAAATCGTCAAATTCCCTTTCTTTGTCATCATTGGTCGAGTATTTTTCGGTCTAGCGTTGCACTTACAATGTCGAAGTTGGGGTCTATAGAAAACATGAGATCTGAGAATGGTTATCTGACGACAATGTTACCCCCAAGAAATGAAGGGAAATATTGGGAAGCCACCTGTGGGACTAGAACTCACGATCCCTTTTACGTTTACGTGAACGATGCTCTAACCACTGGGACATGGAGGCCACTTCAACATGGAACGAATAAATTTACATAATATGACAGATTCCAATCTTCAATCGTGACTTCAGGACCAGTTAGGAACCAATTCTAAATTCCAACGGGATCCAATCGGAATGATGAAAATTGCCACGGGTTACGAAAAGCAACGAAGAAGATGGTGATATGTTCATACGGTGTCCATCATCACGAGAATTTCGATTAAGCCAATAAGAAGATAAATGGGAAATGCGTGCGGGAAGGGTTGGACCCTTCCCGCACGCATTTCCCCCCCCCCCCGCATTTCCCCGCTCCTGACTAATATAACCCTACGATGACAGACCCACAAAAGATCAGTCTGCCTCCAGTAAGAATTGAATTCACGACCCCTGTCTAACGAGACCAGTGCTCTAACCACTGAGCAATGGAGGCCCACGGGACTTCCTACGATCACATACAAGCAGTTTTACTTATTTTCTTGTTCCTCTGTGACTTAACAACCGTATTGGAACGAGTTAGGAATATCATCAGGTTCCAATGGGAATTAGTACTGTGCATGAAAGATAATGACAAAGGTAGCGATTTGTTGGAACGCTCTCCTTACCCACTAGAATATCGACTATATCACAGTTAATGAGGTGTACAATGAAAATTACGTGCGGAAAGAGTCATGTCCCGCAACATGAACAGATGCATCAATAAGCACAGATTTTAAAGCTTATTAAAACAGTGAGGCTTCCGAATACTCTATCTATAGGGATGATTAGTCGTCATTCAAGTTTGCCTCACGGAAGGGTATTGGATGTGTTCCAGAAACTCCAGGTAATTGTAAGATCCTTTTGTGAGAGAATTGTGAGACATCGGCACCGGCAGATAGGAAATCTGCTGATGGTGCCATACCGGCGGTTGCCGAAAAATCAGTACAGCCCTAAAGTAAGCAACGTCCATGAAAAAATTCACTTTGATTTCACCTGAAGTAGAGATAAGCCTGCATACTAAAGTGATAGACAGGAATATAGAGAAGGGATTAGCTAATGTACGTTTCGAAATCAAGGGAGTATAAGAACAATTCACTTTCGCAGCATGGACCTGATGAGATCGAGCTGGAGACTGAAAATGACGATTAAAAAAATAATATTCTTGGGCTTCCCCCTCTCCTTTCCCACTTCCTGTCTTCGATCCGACTTTTCCTCCCTTCCTGTCTTTCATATAGGCAGTCCCAGCACTTCCAGAGTTTGTGATGAGAAATTGCTCGCCGATGCGGGTCACGCCGCTTCTTCCTTTCCCCGCAGGACGGACTGTATTGTACAGTACTCGCCTCGATCCAATGGGACATTTCCCTTTTAAAATATGTTGCCGATGTATCGCGATGGTCGAAAGAACAATCGATATATCCAACTATCGATAGTGGTATCGATGCATCGATCTATCATGACAGCCCTAGTTCATAGTAAGAATTCCACATCAATAAGTCATTATTTTGAATGCCTTGTTTGAAATGGCTTATTGGGACACTTTATATATTAAAATTGTCAAAATTTTGTATTTATCGATTCTGCTCTCGCTTGTACAGTGCCCACGACCATTTATTTCGAATGGCAAAACATTATATCATATTTATATGAACCCCTTTTTAACATTTATTTCCGTGGTTCCTGAGTTATACCCGTTCCAAAGAAACGCGAGAAATGGTTATTCATTTCGAAGCGGAAAAAGGTAAACCAAGGTCCATTAATTTTCATAATCATGGTAATATGTTCCATTCAAATATATTTGAATATCCGCCAGAGTTCAAAGCGCTCTCGATGGGGAAAGAGACAAACGCTCGCATTTTTTGCAAGTCTCAGGAATATTTGATCGAGTAGGACTATTACTCCCGGAGTCAGTACTAACGCAAGAGCAATTTTACAGGTAAATTGCCCTCTCGCAAGTTTCCTCTAAAGATTCAGGTCATCGATTGACCGAAGCAAGGGAATGCTTATGTTGGCATCGCAATCGACGATGTGGTTTATGAAGAAGTGCTTCTTTGATTGTCAAATACATTAGTCAGGACTATTTTTGTTCAATATGAAATGAACTTTACGTTTCCTTCCCACGTACGCTGTGTTTCTTCACCATTTATGGGTCTTACCGATTTTGTTTACTTTATTTATGTCGAACTAATTTGTGGTTAT